ATAAAAGTAGCGAAGGTACTGTTCTAAGTATTAGTTCTACCGTTCTATTTAACCGTCTGTTTATGGGTAGAATGCGGTATTAAAACGCTTTTTTATTACTAAGAGGTAGTAGAAATGAGTTTAAAACTTGCTTATAAATAACGAGCCCCTATCGGAGACGATCTTTTTAGGTATTTTAAACTTCGTAAAGATCTTTGCGAATAAGAGGTTTGCGAATCCCTAGGCTATGAGGGTTGTTTTTGTAATAATATAGACGCTATATTTTATAAATCGGTTTATTATAACGAGTACTACGTTGTAAGGGCGCTTCTTAATTAGTATAGTTAATATAAGTAAGCCCGTAATAAAGTCTAGTAATATTTCTTATTATAGCCTAACTAGGGTAGGTAGGGGGCGTAGTAAGCTATACGGCTTATAGTAACGAGGCTTCGTTCGCTAGTATATTATATAAATATTAATATAACTTTTTATATCCCTACTTATTCTATTTTAGTAATAGTAGCGCTTTAGTAGTGCTATTGTCCGTTTTATATTATAATATCTTATTATAGGTATATTATAATATGCTTTAATAACCTCTCTCTTTAGCCCCTTATATAGCAGTACGTAGGCGTAGCTATTATAGTATAGTAGCCCTCTTAAGTTATATACTTAGCTTTATCGTTACTTTTTTTTAGCTAAGCGAGGCCGTTAGTTCTTTTTAGTTTACTACTTATTTTTTATAAAAGCGTCCTCTTATTAAGCGGCTCGTAATTAACTTATTATTAGTAACCTCTTTTTATTAAATGCTATTTTAGGTACTCTTATTATATTAGAGTTTTATAAAACGAGTAGCTTGCGATTTATAGTTTTAGCAGTAGGCTTAAGTAACTCTTTAAGTATTATACTACGACTTTAACGCCCTAGGCTTATAGTCTTATTATGCTTCTCGAGGTACTTTTCGGGGCTCCCTTAAGCCGGAGCTCTTAACCTCCTTTGCTTATTTTTCCGTACTATTACTAGTTCTATTTTTAAAATACTTACTATCCTTTTTATTTAGGAGCCGCTCCCGCGGCTCGCCCTTATATATTTTATTATTACGACTTTAAGGGGTTCTTATATATTTTTAGTATTATATAGGTCTTTTTTTATTTTCAATAGTAGTTCCTCCGCTCTATTATTATTATTATTTTTATTATAGTCGGGTCTTTATAATAGTTTATCCGCTAGGTTTTTAATACCTAGCTTAAACTTAATTTTAATATTAAATACTATGAGTTCGTTTAGCTAGCGTAGTTATTTTCTATTTAGCTTTTTTTTAGTATTTAGGAACTATAGGTTAAAATAGTTTATAAATACTACGACCTAATCTTAGCTATAGGCGAGGTAGTATTATTAGTTTTTTAGTATGTTTATAATAGTTAGTAGCTCCGTATTTCTTATGCCGTAGTAGCTCTCTATATTTATTAATTTCTTTAACCTATAAGTAATTAGGTACTAATTACCCTTAAATAATTACGTAATTACTAAGCCGATAGCTTAAGCCGAAGTATCTATTTATAACCGCGTAGGTAGGGTAGGGTTAAAATGTCGTAATATTAGTATATTAGTAAATATTATTAGTAACCTCTTAAATAACTTTACGGTAGGTATTAGTAGCTTTAACTATCTTAGTTTTACTTTTTTTAATAAGTTTATTAAAGGTACGGTTATCTTAACATAGTTATTAATAAATTTGTAATAAAACCCTATGAATTTAAAGAACGTTTATATATTTTTAACGCTCTTTAGAAATAGTTAATTTATTATAGCTTCGGTACGTACGGGTTTTATTTCTATGCCTTTATTAAATACGATATACCCTAAGAATCTTATATATAATATATAAAACTCGTATTTGCTACTATTTAGATATAAGTTCTATTACCGTAGTTTTTATAGTACGCTACGTATATACTCTTTATATATTACGTAGTCGTTACTATATATTAAGATATTATTTAGGTATACGATATAGATAGTGTTAACTAGGCTGCTTAGAACGTTATTAATATGTGCTTAGAAAGTTATAGGCGCGTTAGTTAATTTAAAAGGTATAATTAGGTATTCGAACTACTCGTATTTAGTATAAAAAGCCGTTTTTTATTTATTGCCCTTGGTTATACGTATATAATAGTATGCGTTTTTAAGGTCTAGTTTTATAAAAACGGAGGTATTAGATAATTTATTTAATATTTTTTTAATTAGTAGTAGCGGCGTTCTATTTTTTTATATAATTTTATTAATTACTTTATAGTTAACGTAAAGTTATAATTCTTTTTTTTTTTTAGGTATAAAAAGGATAGGTGCTCTAGCCGGGCTTATAGAAGGGCGTATTTAGCCCCTAGCCTCTATTTTTATTAAATAATCTCGTAGGATTTTAAGCTTATAGTTCGATAATAGGTAAATAGGTCCCTAAGGGATAGGTATAGCGTTATTTAGTTCGATACGGTAGTTATGTAGTGCTCTGTTTAGTAGCGAGATAGCTTTTTTTTTTAAGAATAAGTTGTTAAAGTCTTAGTATTGTAGCTTTTAATTTTTAGCTATGCTCGCTAGTATTATGTTATTATTTATAGCTAGGTTAATTACGATATATGCGAGTGTTATTAAAACTAAGTTGTTTAGTAGCCCCTTTTTTAGGGCGTTTAAATAAATATGTCGTTCGTAAATTAGATACTACTATTTTTTTTATTTCTAACTAATTAGTAGGTTAATATCCTTTAACTAGGGGAAACTAAGTATAAGCGTAAGTATTGTAATGTTAGTTATTATAAAGCGATGTAGCTATGTCTTTGTTACGTAGTTACTATTAGTAATTCGAAGCCGTAGGTAGTAGCTCCCTAGCGTTTTTATTTATTTACCCTCGATGTTTATTAACTACGGCGATTGGTAAATTCGTGGATTAGTGTTAAAACTGTTAAGTAGCCCGATGCTAATTATGTTCCTTTTTATTCTTAAATTAATAAGGGTACTTAGCTTTTTTTATATATAGTTTAGGTATATATAGGTCGGGACGTTTAAGCGCCGCCCTTATTAATTGCTAGCTACCCTTTTTATTAAAATAGTATTCGAGTTCGTTATTGGTCCGCGCTGCTTAGTTAGAGCGAGGTTTAATTAATAGCTAGCGGCCTTATGCCCCTTTTAATTATATTTATAATATATAACGCTAGGGTAGCTATTAGCAAGGTGCCCGGTTTTATTATAGTTATAGTATTACTAATACTACTCTTGCGGTTATAGGTAATCCTTTGTAATATAGTTAGTTTTTTTATAATTATAGTACGTAGTATCCTTATTAAGTAAGTTGCGGCGTGTTCTTTATATAGTTAGTTTATTAGTGCCCCGGTATTTCCCTACTAACTTATTTAAGTTTAAGTTAGAATATTATTTAGGGGGCGTTCGTAGGTTCCTTATTAATAGTAAGGATTACTTAATACGTCTTATTAGCGATACTAGCTATAGGTAAGTTTATGGAAGTTTTATTTACGATACTATTACGAGGCGTAGTTCGGGCCGTAGCTTGTTTATTAGTATAGAGATCCTCTATTTTTTTATTAGGATATATTTTAGTTTTATTTTAAGCTTATTAATGTAATTAACGAACTCGTTGACCCTCTCTTTCTGGCTTTACGAGGCGCTATTTAGGCGTATATTTACTACTATCCCTTAGTTAGTAGGATTAGATAGGTTATTTTATAGGAAGGTTTTTAGTTCCTCTTATATGACTTAGTCTATTATAAACCTAGGGACCTTTTTATAATTAAAGATATAGTATATTTAGGAGGTCTTTATGCTATTACTTAGGTAGCTAATTATATACGTTACTTTATTACGGTCTGTTTTTATTTATTAAGCCTATAGGTCGAAGTAATAGTAATAGTTAAATAAGAAGCTCTATAAGTCCCGTGCCGATTTATTAGTATACGATAGGTTAGGGAGGGATAGTAGTCTAAATACGGATGTTCTACTTGCGGTACTTATTTAAGTTAGAAAGGAGTTAGTAAACGGAGGCTTAGGTAGTATAAACTCGTTATTTTATTATTACTCGAGCGGCGCTTTAAGTATAGTTTTGCTTATCGAGCTATTTTTAGTCTGGGGGTTTATATTTTTATTTATATTAAAGTTAACGTCCGAGGCTACTATAGCTAATACCGTAGCTCTTAGTACGGGGGCCGGGCTACCCGAGGAGCTCTGTAAGCGTTTTAAATTTACTTATCTTTTATATAGTCGCTCTTTATACGTTATTATAAGGATTTTTTTTTTTAATTATTATTCTTATTTTTGTAATTTTACTAGTCTATTACTTATCGTTCGGTTTAGGTATTAGCGAGCGAGGGTAAGAGGTTTATTATTTTATTCGAAATTCGTTAATACTCTTGGTAATGCGGTCCCTTTACGTTATTGCTACGTAGTTCGTCTTATTACGGTCCGTTTTTATGTTATTTATTAGAGAGGAGGCGACTTTGGGGGGTTTAATAAAAACGAGTCGTCCTCTTTTTATTATCGTAGTACTGACTGCGCTCTTTTGCTACGTCTTGTTTTTGTTAGTATTTTGAGCTCCCGGCCTAGTCCCCTTTGTGGGTAGAGATTTTAGACTGTTAATAGGTGTGTGACGTAGGGAAGAAGCTTATAGAGGCTAACTACTGTTAGGGTTTAAAAGATGAATTATTGAAATTTGCCCTTCCCTCGAGGCGTATTACTAGCGCTCTATATATGCCTGAGCTGCTCCTTTGTTATTTGGTCCCCCTCCTTATGCCCCTTGAGCTATCCCTTAACCGACGGGGTCTAACTGGCGAGGCCTGACATTGGGTTTGATTGCATTTGGAGACGGTCATATGTTCCATTGTAGTGACTGTAGTAAGTACTTTATCTACTTCCGTCAGGTCTGCTGACGGACGCTTCTCATTCCACGCCTTGTCTACAACTAGGGCTCGAACGTGAGAAATTCCAGTCAGAACTTTTGAACTTTGATAATTTGCAACTCATATAGGTACGGTCATCCATATCACACCATTGACAACCACTTCCGTGACTTCGAGTGAGCGACGCGAAGACACATCAGACGAGTAGACATAAGATAGTATCCACCAAGTACTAGAACACTCAGACAGATACAAAATGAGATTAGAACCCAGATGTATGGCGAAATCATAGCTTCCTTTTCTTTGGGAAACCAATTGAAGAAGTCCGTAGAGAAAATTGTCTGATTTGAGAGTTATCACGTTAGAATGCTTTGCCGCGATGATCAGATTTCCAATTTCCGTACAATAGGACGTATCAAGAAAGATACCAGACAAGCAGTGGCAAGGATCTGACTTACTGCAACAAACATGCTAGGTAGAAATACCATGGAGAAAATGGAAATATTCTGCATTCGCTTCCCATCTCGTTTGGATTCCAGGGCAATTTGCATGTTGGTCCTTGCATGAGACTGTACACGAGTTAGTGGGATATTATGACGAGTGTGTATGATTAAGCTGAGTATAAATAAACTCACGAGCTGAGTCGCCATCGACATTCCGTCTAATCTCATAGTACAGTCTCTTATAGTGTCCTCATACTCGTTTATTATCGACCTCAGTCGGTTTCTGATCATAGAATTCACTTTTGCTTGCTTCCGCTTTAGATCTGCTTTGGTATCGGCACAAGCAAATGCCGAACGTCCATCCATGACGTTTGATGTTGAGTAACTCTCGGCCATTCCTTCGATATGAAGTAGCATCTCTTCCACCTGTGTCTTCCAGTTGAACAGGCCATTTCGGAGCTCCGTGGTGTTAAGCCAAAGGTCAATGATTGGCTGGGTAGCAGCCTGGTCACTTTCGCTTCCCTCATCGGAACCCAAGTAGTATGTAGCCTTTTCCAGCTCGCCTTGAGTATCCTCAACAAGCCGCTTTAGCTGTCTCTCTCTCTCTAGCTCAGTGAAGATTCCCGGAAGTAGGAATGGGTGTGACAAGGCGCTGGATGAGCAGTAGAGTCTGTCAATAATCTCATCCTCTATTTCAGCAGTGGTGCCGAAGACGATAGCGTTCGTCGAACCTGTCTTTGATAGGTGTGTTACCGAAAGAGCTAAGTCGCCATCCCATGCCATGGAGGTCCTGCTGTGATAAACTTCAAGGGCTTAGAATGTGACGGTCTGTTGTCTACTAAGATTAGTAGACTTTGGTGTGAACCCACCGATAGCTGGCTCTTCAAGCTCACCCATAGCCACATCTCCCGAACAAAAGCTTGCCACATCTCCACGGCTGATGGTCCGAGAAATGCCACTATGAATCATCAGCTTGCTACAGATATATCTGAAGGTCTCGCGTGAAAAAGAAAGAGAGCGGATGGTTTTGGGTTGGTAAGCTGACGGGCTAGTCTTGGCTCGTCTTGCAAATCTGCAACAGATAATATCAGCCTTTCGTAATGCCAGTCTCTTCAAACCCCAGTACAACTATACTCATTGACAAAAAGCTTACACGACAGTGATCTTGGGCTTGTAGCTCTGGTCAAGGTCTCTGTGGTTCTTTTCACCGACTTTTATTAGTCTGAGAGCAACCAGCTATGGGTTGAGGCCGACACACGGCCACAAACCTCATGAAACCATTCCTTCCAACCTTCATCATTCACCTTCCACTGTTTGGGCTCCTGCAATAATGTGAGCTTTTTGTTAAGTATTGATCAATGACTTACCTTACCCCATCTTCGTCGTCTAATTGGACAACTTTGACAGATCTTGGCTCATATTCAAAGACGTTGGCGAGATCGGTCTCACTATTACTAAGCAATGACCCATCGAGGAGCCAGTCCATGCTTAAATCAATCAGGTAGGTGATATTTGTGGTGGTAGGTTATGCATGTGGTTAATTTCCGTTTCATTCAATGAATGATGGACAAGCGTTGGATCATCCTGAGGGTGGAAATAGCTGCATTCTTTCTTGAGACTGGCAACAACACGGTACTTGAATCCGGCAGTCACCGGTGTCAACAGCCCTAATGACATTGGAGAACTGCCTCAACCCTTTGCCAACATCCGAATTTCTCCGTATTCCTGGAATGAAAGCTTCAACAAAAACGAGCCTCTGCGCAAAGTGAAACGAGGCATCTCGAAGCAGCCCAACCACTCCAAAGGAGCCCGAACTCCGCCCAAGGCGCTCTTCGGTATGCAAAGGAGGGGTCGAGATTCCGAAAGATCCACCCTTCCTGCAGGTCAAAAGCTCCGTTACTAATCTTCTCATGATAGAAAGCAGCTAATCAGTATAACGCAAGAAGCAATGCTACCCTGGCGTGCCAAGATAGATGCTCCGCCTGGTTGGAAGTACTGCAAATGAAGAGGTAGGCTTCGCTGCGGGCTGACAGCAGTATGCGATGATGTCGACGACTTCAAGATGTCTCCAATGATCGATTCACGTCGCCCTCCAAACCGATACTTGTCGGCATGTCGATGGCGAGATGTAACGCGTCTGTGCCTAACACTGCATTTGCCTAGAGTCTCGCTCGCCTCATTCGGGTAGCCTGACGAGCGTGGTTCCCCGCCGTGTAGCTAACACGAGGCATAATCTGATTCGTTATGAACCCTGCCGCGGAAGAGGACTCCGACAGGTAGGCCATACAAAACTGTCAGTATGCAGCCCGTCATGCGTTCCGGCGATCAACTCAACCTTTTGGAGTTGTTCACCAAGCAATCATGACGAAGGAATTTGTTAGTGGTCGATATTGCGATGAGACAATGCTCCATCAGAAGCTCAGACAGTTGTTCCCGAACGCTTCGGGAGATGATATTGGAGTTCGAGTAAGACAATTCAAACTGTGCTCTCCTTCTTTGTGCTTTTTGTGTGCTAAAATCGAATCACCCAGTTCTCGCGAGGGAAATGGAACCTTGACCTGCCGCGGTCTCTCACACCAGTAAGCGACGAGCAGAACTATTGATGCATTCGAGTTTCAACATGGCTGATTTTTTGGCACTTGAAGGAAGAGCGGAATCTCTTCAGGTCTTCTTCTGGACCTGGCCACTATGCAAGCATCAGGCAGGTCTCACGCGAGACGAGAAGGGGATGAGTGACAAGGGAACTTTTCCAGGTATATTTTGAGCAGGACATGTGTTTGGAGTCGTGTGGTAACCTTGTTCCTGGATCTCAGACCTATCTTCAGGTCGATGGTTTCGTAGTCGCTCAATACACTCTCTCTGTTGGAGGTTGTAGAAGTTGATCCCCACGTCCCACCCTCGCCCTTGGCGGCTCTTCTGTGCGGCCTTGATGAGTGCGAAGCCTCGGATGGCTTTTTCTAATGGTATCCAGCGCATTTTCGTTGAGCCTGATCTTGACAGCAGGTGACTCTTCACTGGATGGTGGTAGAGGCCAAGGCACAGGCTCGACACAGTAAGCTTTGCTTTCTAGACATCGCCTTTGAATACGTCGCAGTTCTTCAAATACTTCCTTGCAAGTCGCTCGTTTCCTGACCGCTGACTCGACGATCAACATCCTGTTCTGAACGAACTTTAGAAGATCATGGGTGTACTGAGTACAATCTCGATGATTATGAAGCCCGTCAAACCACTACGATTCATCAGTCCGGGCTTCTGTCTGGTGACGGCTGTGGAACGATACATACTCGGGTCACATTTGGTTTTACCATGGCACCCATACTTCTCAAGGAGGTGTCGTCATCGGATGCAATACGCACAACTTGTACAATGTCGAAGTAAATATCGGACTTGAACTCCTGGCCCCATATCGATGATCTCGTCATTCGGTATTCGGCAAAATCTTCCGACAGCTCCCATCCACCCAACAGCCACGTAACGAATTCGACATAGACGCATCCCAGAGTCCAAATGTCCCAAGATCGTGAGATCATAGCACCCTCAATATCGCATTCCGGGGGCCGGTAAGTAGGCGTTCGCCCTATGCCAGAGTTGTTGGGAATGTTAGATCGACTTCTCTTGCTGTTAAAAACGCCAAGTCCGAAGTCCGATATCACGAGCCTTCCAGGATCACCCATCGAACTTCGAAACCAGAGAATATTATCGGGCTTTATATCTCCATGGCGACCGTACTTCACCGCATTCTCAGTGTTGCCATCGACCTTTCCTGGGTACTCATGGATCCTGGCAAGGCCGGCAGCCATGCCAGCAGTCTGCCTCGCAACCCAACGGACGAGGTCTTCGCCCATGTCTGGTTCACTATGGATTTCCCAGTACTTGACCAAATCACACTCGGCCCATGGGAAAAGAAAGTAAAAGAAACCTTTCTGACTCCAAGTTGTGAGCAGTGAAATCAAGTGTTCATGGGCGTTTTCGCTTTCAAATTTCCGCAACATCTGAAGTTCTCGCTGGAAGGCTGCCGTATCTGTGGATCGAAGTCTCTTCAGAGCAAAAAAGCACTAGCAGCTTCATGTTAGCCATTGATCAGCAAACCTGGCATGATTCCACCTCTAGTCCCGACTCTGATTTTAAAGTATGGAGTAACTTGACTATTATCATAAAAAGTGGGTACTTACATCTGCCCCGTTTTGACTGAAGTCGTGATGGCGGGGATGCAACTTGACCTTAAATACTTCACTGAATCCACCAGTTGCTCCATCGTCGTTGGGGTCAGATTGGTATGTCAAGGGGAGTATGACTCGATCATCAAACTTTCGATATTGGGCCTCGCTTCCTTGAATGCCCTTGAGAAATGGAACCCTTAGCGTCCATTGCCAGTCATCGAAAGACCTCAGTGAATTATGTCTCCAACCTTGGAAACATCCCAAGGGTTTGTCGAGGTCTTTTCTTTTTCGTAAGTCAACCTTGTTTCTTTGGCCTAATTCGACTTTTTGAAGAGGCAGATCTGAATCACAAACTCCGGTTACAGGGTCTAGAAACTCCCGGATAGACCTTACCCTCTCAATCAGGCAAAGAATCGCAAAGACCTGTCGATAACACCTACTCCCCGGAGAGCTCTCGCATACCCTTTGAGCAATGCGGTTTATATCGGAGTCATCGTCCAAAGCCTCTGTAAGTTCTTGTTTCACCGCTTCAGGACCAACAAGTTCCTCCAAAAGGCCAGTCGGGAGGTATCCTTCCGTTACTTCAGGGTGAGGATGGGGCTGGTAATGGCTCCGAAGAAGCTCATCTAGTGGTACTCCAGTGTAAGCGCTGGGGGGACTTTGGGCCTGGTCTGTCGAGCGGATTGGTGGGTTTCGGTTCCCGACACTGGTCTGTTCGCTAGGTGCTGCTGGGCGTTCTTTTGGAACGTTATCGAGGCCCTGGTTCCCATGAATAGCGTCAAGCGCAGGGTTGTGCTCATCGCCCTGTGGTTCGTGTTAGAAAATCGTGCAGCTTGAATGGCAGAAGAGGGCCCAATTTGCAACTGACAATAACAACTTTCGGAATGCTGCCACCTAGATGGAGGTAAGACAGATCTTCGCTCAATGTGCGAGGGTGGCGATTGGGGCTGGGGCCGCTGGGTATGTTCGGATGGTATTCCGGAGGCATTGTGGAGTGGTACGCTTCATTAGTAGCACCAAAGATGAAATGTGCAAGTATCAAGCTAGGAAGCCTCGAGCAGCAAGATCGTGTTTGTCGAACCGGAAACGATGTCTCATCCTAGTGGAAGAGAAGGGAGTTTTAATGGGCGAGTCTGGCAACTATGCTGCACAGCCAGCCTCACGAAGTAATGCCCCAGAGAGGAATGGTCGATTATCAGCTTTATGGCCTCCAAGTGGTGTAAGCAGCGATTACGATGCAGAATGGACGGGCTCTGACCAGGGCAGCGGCAGGCTGTGGACTGACGGGGTTTACATGCAGGCTGTAAGTCTGTACCTGCAAGGGAAAGAGAAAGTCGGTGTCAGAGGGGCCTGGATACTCGGGGAAAAAGAAGGCTGCGCAAGTGCGCAGATGCGCGTGTACTGTACCCATAACCCGGAACTCATGGCATACCAATTGAATAAGAGAAGAAGCCGTAGAAAGGAGCAAGGGAACGATATTTTGGTGCACCCTTGGAAGTCGCGATGTGTTAAGAACCGCTTCTTCAGAACGGAGCAGAGCTATGTTGACGTGGAAGTGGATTCACCCCCATCGCTGCAGTGGATGGGTGCGCGAAGGCATCCCCATAGGCCGAAGTGGATGCGACGACGAGGAACCCTGAGCCTACAGCTGACACTTGGGCTAGCTTGCTGTGCGGGAATTCCAATTCATGTTGATGGTGTGAGCAGAAAGTGGTCAACGAATTCATTCGACAGAAGCGTTCTGGAATGCAGCTTAACATGCAACCACACGAAGGGAGCAGGTGATTGGCTTTGATCAGGCAACCGCACCATAAACCTGCAGATATTGATGCAGTCTTGCAGCATGTTATGAGTGATCTGCTTGAGTTCAACCAATCATACCCTGGTAGGACTAAAACGCTGCAAGCCCTCCTCGGCCCTTAAGTGTAGGCGCATTCCACCGAGAATCAGACCCGGCCATCTTCCTCTTCGGCTCTCGCCATCCGTTACCGACATTCTGGGGAAGAAAAAAAAAAGACATAAGAGAAAACAACAGCAGCACACAATGGATAGCAGCTTCAATGTACGTCGGAATAAGCAGCAAGGATGCCAGAGGATATCTGGATCCTCCATCGCCCCGGAGAGACTCTCCCGTTATCTTAAAGAAGAATTCAATTCCCACCAGTTCGAGTTTGAGTCAAGAAAAAACTCTTACGTGATCCGGGCTCCGCGTGATCTCTCGCCAGTACGTGCGCCCTAAAGTTAAGGAACATGGAAGATCGCTAATGCAAAAACAGGATGAAATTCAAAGACTCCGGACAAGTCGCATGTAGGAATAGTAGAACCAGCGATGGAGCGGAAAAGGAACTATTTGCTGCTTGAGTTTTTCGGGCGAAACACGACGGCGTTGAGATTCACAGCATAGCCACGGGGTTTGGGAAGGATTGCATTCGTTTGGCACTTCAATGCTTTGAAGATATCACATCATGAGGATTTGGAAAATCTTGGGACTTCAATTCTTGTATTGTGATTTACTAGACTCAATTAGAACACACTCGTTCACTGTCACCTCAGGCGTTCCCAACCTATCAGCAGGTGCTCTAAAAAGGGCGTCCAACCTGTCAGAAGCCTAGGAAGCCCCAACTTTACCAACCTGCGATCGCCGTGCATTGACTCGAACCTGAAAGTTTACAGGCTTCACGAACCAACAGTTCCTAGTAACCCAGGGAGCGTCCCTACAAATTTCAAAATCAAACTCGTGCAGTAATCTGGGCATCAATTTCGAAATTTCCAATATGGAAATGTGTCTTCCGATGCAGGTTCGTGATCCCAGGCCGAACTATCAGCTTGTCAGTGACAGCACTGGAACATGCAATCTCTAGCTCTTTTACAAGTGGCTTACCGGCATCCAGTGTCTGTTCATCGCCGACAAACGATCGGTATCCGTAGTCAACCATCGATCCGGTCTAAAAGAGGCTGCATCTTCGCCAAAGATGGACGGGTGGTGGTGCTCAACCCAAGTGTTGATGCCCACGATGGTCTAATAATGATTAGTGAATGTCAATCAGTCTACAATGCTGACATGGTTTCAACATACCCCGGCTGGAAAGAATTTCCCTGCAATAGTGGCTCCTCCTTCGGGAACAACTCTCTCGAGGGGAAGCCCAGTCGCGGGATGCAATCTCAATGCCTCTTTGATGACTGCCTGGAGGTATGGCAGCTTCAGACTCTCCTGGAAGTTTAGTCGTCGAGGATCACCAGTTCTCTGGGAATAGAATTCGTCAATCTCTTTTTGCAGCTTGCTCATCTCTTTAGGGTTCCGGAGAAGCTGATATAAAATGGCGCTAAGGCTGATGGCGGTCGTGTCTGAGCCTGCAACCATGTTTGATACACAACCCGCCAGAACATGGTATTGAGAGAAAGTTGATGAGTCCTCGGAGTGCTTTCCGAGAAATTTGGAGAGAAAGTCCATTGTGCCAGACTGTTCAGAGAGATGTGAAGTATCCTCAGCATCGACTGCTTTGGGCTTTGCCTGATGGTCTGCCAAGCAACCCTTGGTGAACTCGACGATGAATTGCCTGCCAGTACCCCGTTTACCTAGCCGACTCCTGATGGGTGCTAAGTAGGAGTGGAGGTACGAGTATACTCCTACCATAGTCGCGTAGTAGAGGTGATTTTCGAGATTCTTGATCACCGCTCCGACATCGAGACCCCGGTCCAGGAATCCAAGTCTCTTGGAGTAGGTGATCATACCAACCACGTCGAATGCGTAACACTGGAACCAATGACCCATGTCAACAGGCTCTACCGTCGTTCCTCTGCCACTCATCTCTGAGAGCCTTCTGGAGAACAAGTCCGCACACTCATCGACGTAGCTCTCGTAGTGCACCAAGGAGGACATGCTGTACATGCTTTGATAGAGACGTCGATTTTCGCTGTGGCGCTTCTCGTTTCGGTCTGAGAACAAAGACCATTGATGCGGGTTTGGATCACCCCAAGTGTCGTACCACGTAGACTTTGAGAATGCGTGGCCATGACCGTAGATCACCTTCGCTGCGTGTGGGTCATTGATACTGAATCTATTTGGACCATATCGGACAATTGAGCCTTGGAGGAGTTAGCTCATTTACACTGGACTCTTCCAAGTTGACACAGTCTTCGAGACAAGACTGTGTTTCTGTCCAGTAGGACCCCTCCAAAAGACGACTTGCCATATTTTCGGTGCAGCTCAATGTTGTCAACCTCGAAGCGGCCCTGATGAATCCTCCATGCGTACCATAGGTCCGTGAACCGCGCAAAGAAGGGGCCGGGGACGGATGCGAGTGGGGCCGCGAAGCCGCGATAGATCTTTGCCAGGAGCTGCACTCCCACAAAGAGTGCGACTATCACCAAAAGGACGTATGCCTGCATTCTATCGATTGATACGGCTGCTGCAGAACCCTCTGTGGATGCTTGGAATTGTGTGTTACCAGATAATCCATCAGTTATCGCAGTTGCGCATGGGAGATAGCGAGCTCGAGATTGGCAACTATGCGCTCCGCAGCTCCCGAGGCTAAGAAAGCTAGCCAAGGCATCTCAAAGGCGGGGTCAACCTTTGCGAGTTTCCACTATCATGGAAGTCAAGGCTCTGAATGACGTACGGTGTCCGCGGACAACCTCATGGCGACCCCGCATGTCTGCTTGCTTGCGGTCCCGGCTGCTTCGGCCGGCAGTCCGAGCGCAGGATGGTATCTCACTACTAGTCTGTCTAGGCCAACCCATATCCGATGAACACCAATCACATCTTGGGTAAACTGTTGCTTACTTCTTTCGATGAGTATCAGCGGGGCATCGGCCGAACATCGCTAAAATTAGAAGTTTAGAACATTGGGCTTTGGACGATGGAGTTGCGATGGGTCTCTCGGCCCCCGAGATGTTTATCATGAAGTTGTTTTGTCTAACGAAGTTCAGCTTAATTACAAGCAAAGTTCTGCCTCACTCCAAACACATGTTGACCAAGCAAATTGAAGCCATTGACAAGAGCAACAAAGAAGTTCAACATGCAGAGCACCCTTCCAGCGTCTTGGTATCGTGAGCCAGGTTTCTATCAACTGGAGAGACGCGCTATCTTCAGTAAATCATGGATCCTAGTCTCACATGTCCACCAATTCAGTGAGCCAGGCAAGTACGCTCGCTATGAGATGGCCGGTTATCCCTTTTTCATCATTAAAGACCGTGCCGGGAATATCAATGCGTTTCTCAACATCTGCCGCCACAGAGCATTTCCAATTGTTCATGAGAATGAGGGGAAGGCGTTTGTGCTGTCTTGCAAATATCATGGTATGCGCTCTTACCCGGCCTCTGACTCCGACCTACAGTACTAACACTATGGCAGGGTGGTCTTACAGCATGAATGGAAACTTGGCCAAGGCGCCTCGATTCGACCAGGTCGAGGACTTTGACAAAAGCGAGTATGAACTCTACAAGGTGCACAGCCATATTGATAGTCTGGGGTTCTTCTGGATCAACCTGGACGCAGCTGAAAAGCCGACGCTTAGCTGGGAGGAACAGTTCGGTGGCGTTGATAAACAGCCCCGGCTAGAGAACTTCGACATGAGCAACTATGAGTACGACCACACTTGGTCAATGGAGGGAAAATTCAATTGGAAAACACTGATTGAGAATTACAATGAGGTTCGTGCAATCAACTCCGATCTTTATAGTTGGTTAGTCTCAAACTGGGTACTAATTCTGTGGGCCTCCTGCAGTGTTATCATTGCCCAACAGCTCACCCTGGCCTCGCACCCTTCTTCAAGGGCAATAAACAGATGAACTATGGTCTCAATAAGTACTGGGTTGAACACCTTGGCGCAAAAGGAGAGCAACGTGCCAGCTCTGTCAGTCCTACATACATGTTTCCCAACGCTTCGGTCACTCTCACGTGAGTTAGAGTCATTCCCATGTGCGCTCAAGCAGGCTCAGCTAACTTGGTCTCCAGGCCTGTATTCTTCTACATGATGTCAATCGTACCCACATCTGCCACCACGAGCTTGATGCGGTACGAAGTCTATCGGTCAAAAACGGCGACTCCAGAAGAGTTGAAAGAAAAGCTGGACTTCTTCAGCCAAGTTGAGTCAGAAGACAAATGGCTAGCCAACGGATCGCAGTCCAATCTCAATAGTGATACCTACACAACTGGGCCATTTCACCCTGATGTGGAAGAAGCGGTTGTCTATGTCATTGGAAAGGTCAAGGGGCTTCTGCATGACCATGTGGCCGAGGAGAGAAAGCGCGGGTCGGAATGGTGGCCGGCTCGCAGAGGCCCTGTTCAAGCGACGAGATCATCCGCCGAAGAGGATGAGGCGTTCTGTCGGGGTGTTTGTTCGAGCTCTAACATGAATGATAAGGCTGTACCCGAGGGCTTAGCGTGGTAGTTTAGCTCTGTCTGATTTTTAGGATCTCAAAGATCTAGATAAGTAATCAATCGAGACGCTCAAACCATTGTATATTTCACACGAGGTGATCACCTGGGCCGAGATAAAAGCTAGATACCCGAGAGAGTTATTGGGCTACCAGGGAGATACCACCATACCGTTGTCGTCATCAGGAAAATTGTTTGGTGGAGGCTTACGTTCGCGCTATTGCAGAGTTGGAAATAGTAATTTGACGCTCGGCATGGAACGGAGACCGATGTTAATTGCATTAGTAATGATGTGGGCGCGTTCGCATCCAGGGCAATTTAGTGCAGGTCACCAGGCCCTACCGCGTCCTACGGCTCGGTGGTTAACTAGCTCCCTACATTGGAAAGTACGCGCTTCCAGTCAAATCCCCAAGGCACTCTAGTTCGATACTTGGACATTGGCAAAAGACGAGTTAGTGGTGATAAATAGGGTAAATTACGATCATACTTCAAAACGATGGCCTGTCGACGACATAATCGACATTGAAACATACCCGTAACTGCTGCTAATTCAATTACCAGTTATTCCACGTTCAACTACTTGACCTCAACTATCATCATGGCCGGCTTCACTTCCACACTGCCCCGCACGCTTCTATCTCCATCTCTATACACCCATGTACACAATGTTTGGTTTCAAGGCGTAGCACCTCATGCCAAGATTGCCTCACGAGAAGCAATGACGCGTTGGTTCGGCCAGGGATCCCCGGAAGACCGTCGAGCATTTGACGACACCTGCACGAAAGAGTTCGCGGCCGCTCTAGAGTCCATCGGACCCGAAAAGTTCTCTCTTCCGCCTTCGAACAACTTTTCAGAGGAGTCTGCCGCAGCCGAAAACATCGCAGGTCCATTGATGCAAAGCATCAACACCTCGGACGGAGAAACCAAGAGCATGCAGACACTTGCACTCATTCTCCTGCTCGATCAAATACCCCGAAACATATTCAGGACACGCCAGGCCGTCATCTACACGCATTACGATCGGCTTGCACGGGCAGTCCTTCGCAGCCTCATGAGTGCTGAATCGCGCCCTGACATGCATCCCTCGCTCCGGTTGGCGCCGGCGCGGCGTATGTGGTTTTATATGCCGCTGATGCACTCCGAACATATCGAAGACCACGAGACATACATCAAAGTTGTCAGCGAGATGCAAGAAGAGTTTCGAGAGCAGGGGGACAAACAGAGCGAGGACTATATCGGGGACAGCCTAGAGTTCGAGAAGAAGCATAAGCATTTGATCGAGCGGTTTGGGAGGTATCCGCACCGTAATGCGCAGCTGGGCAGATTGATGACGAAAGAAGAGGAGGAATACCTTCGAAGTGGGGGAGAACACTTCGGAACCGCAGCGTGATAAGACGTGGGGGTTGGCTAAATGTGTGTTTGTAGCTGTATATAAACAGGGCATACATGTAAAGATATCTCGATCCTTCTCATTCTACTCTGACCACATCTCATCCAAGAAGAACCTGCTTAACAATCCTCACCTCCTCCGTCGTGCCGCAGATCAGACCTGCTCTACCATCGCAATCCTTCTGAATCTTTTCAAGCAGTGGCCTGCCATCCGTGGGGTCAATGGCTTGGCCACCCGCACACTCCATGATCAGAGCAATCGGGTATAGCTCGTAGAGGAATCTGAGCTTGGGAAGAACACCGGGCGTAACAGGCATAACATAGACGCCATGACCCTTGACAAGCGCATGCACAATGTCGGGTACAAGGCCGCCGCAGTACCGCAGCGTGTACTTCTCCTTGATGAACCGCGTAATGAGAGCGCTGTACCTCTCATCGTCCGCCGCATGTCGCAGGTTGGCGGGCGCAAAGTAACGCGTCTTGAAGGGTGTGTCAGCCAATTTGACGACCGGCCGGATAACCTCGCAATCTGCCACACCGTTCGGGCCGTATCCGATCTCAAAGCAAGCGGAGTCGGCGCCGGGGATCCGCACGGCAACAATGGCGGTAGTCCGGGGTCCGATGACACCAATAATGGCCGCAATCTGCTTCTCAACCGGTGACTGGCCCACCGCGGTGCGCCCATCCCAGATGCCGACAATTGTTCCAACCGTCCAGTTTGGCGCAATGATGGAGCTGCCGTCAAGGGGATCGAAAGCGACGGTGTACTCCTCTGAGGATGCAGGGATCTCGTTTGCGCCAGCGCTCGCTTGTGGCCTCGCAGGCTTCTCGATCGGGTCCTCCTCACTGCTTGCGGTCTGGATCGAGGGGCATCTCGCAATAGCTTCGCGCATTACATTCTCGGAGAGCACGTCGACGTTGAGCTGGTCGTCACCAAAGGCGTTTGCTGTCCCAGCAAGTGAGACGTGCTGGGATGCCTGCAGCGTCTTGGCGATGCCGGAAATGGCGTCAAGGATTGCCGGGATTACATCGCTGCGGAGAGACGAGCGGTCCCCTTGCGGAATCACCTTCTCCAAAAGCTGCGTAAGAGCTGGCGATGCCGACATGACTGGTTGTGAACTTGGTATGTGAGGCCCCTCAGAAAGTGTTGAGTCAGGACCGAAGTGAGTTATTTTAGGATCAGTAAAGTTGCGAGAATTTACGCTACGGCGTGGCCCCCACACATTCTCGACGGGTTCTCCCTTGATCCACCATTCTCACACTCATGGCGTCAAGCTCAAACTCACGACTACTGGACACAAAATACTTACACCTGAATCGAGACATCATGAGCTCTAGAACCCTGAAAAGCTTTGTTGTCTGCTGACTATATTTGCACTGGGTTACAGGTCCGCTCGTCTTAAGATGCTGCATTTTCTTCAGTAAGACACCTACCTTACTGAGATATTGAATCGATCTGTCAGCAAAAGAGAGAGCTCATATCTTATCGCGCACTTTGTCACTCCGCGTCAGTGATTCGCTAATGATTATCTACGAGAAGAGCAAATCACTAAGTTTGCGAGCTTTCCTCACCAGAGTCTCCACCCTGCCGTTTAAATCCATCGTAAAACCGCCTTTCCTCAAATACCCGTATATCATCATCGAAGTTGACCTTGCCAAGTTTTCGTGCCTTCAATATTTTCCTTCTCACTCTCATCACATCGTACTCCGTGTTCCGGGTCAACCACCAAGTCCATAGGTTGGCGACAAAGGAGGCGATAGTTGTCGCCGCTGCTATCGCGAAGCTTGTTTTGTAACCATTGTATGCGAACTTTGACTGGAACAGCTGCGGCCCGATGACGCCGCCTAGCTGGGCTATACCCGATTGAAGACCAAGCGTGAAGGCCGTCCCCGTAGATCCAGAGAGTGTGGCAGATCTCCAGGCCCAGAACGGAATGAAGTATGATTGGTAGAACAAAGTTCCCAAGATGCAGGAGATGTAGATGCCATACCGATTGGTGATCGTGAAGAAGAGAACAAAGCATACAACCATGCCGGACATGAGTATCCTAACCTTCTAGTCAGTGACTCATACCTCGTATCTCAACTCTTGAATAAGACTCACATGATGTAGGCTGGCCGGACGATATACGCTCTCGACATGAACCACGCCGAAAATATTAAGCCCACGATGGCGGCAAACGCAGGAGGCATGTTCAACAGCTGATTCCTCGGCAGCCCCACGAAGCCAAGATTAGTAACAATGGTAGGCAAGTACCATGTCAACGCGTATCCTCCAATATTGATGAGCGTCTGCGACAGCATGAATGACCAAATCAATGGTGTTCGTAAGGCCGCCCAAATCTCTTTGCCGGCGAAATCAGGATCGTTAGTCAGGGGCGCATTCTCCGGTAACCTGGCCTCTACAAACTCTTGTTCCCTCTCTGTCAGGAAGCGGCTGCTGCGCGGTGACTTGGGATAGTCTGGTAGCAGCCAAAATACGACACCAGAGAAGACGATGGTAGCCAGTCCTTCGAGAAGGTACACCCATCTCCAAGCACTAATACCACGAATCCCGTTCATATAGCTGATACCATAACATAGAATAGATCCGATGATACCTGCCAGGTTGGACATTGCAAAGAACCAAGTCACTGGTTTGCCTATCTCATCTGTGCGGTACCAGCTAGACAACTGGGCCATGATACCCGGAAACATCCCCGCTTCGAACATCCTGGAATGCAGTCAGCACACTTTTGGCCTAGATATCATACAGGGACTTGAGACTCACCCAAGCAGAAATCGCATAGCGTAAAGTTGATGCCGATTTTGAGCTGCAGCTTGGCAGGCTGTAATGATTCCCCAGGTGAGGAAGATACGAGACTGCCAAAGATGTGGACTCATACGCTTCAGGAGAAGATTACTGGGTGCTTCAAAGATGATGTAGGCGATCTACCCTTTGTTAGTGTTTCATAACGATTACTCAAGTTGCTTTTTAAGACTGAGCAGTTACTCACACCATAGATAGATCCAACCCAATTGTATTGATCAGATGTCATGTCGAGTTCTTTCATGATATTTCGGGACTCTCCTGCTTGCAACACCCGGACATTTGCAGCATTGGTTTGGTCAATCTGGAAATTCGTTAGGACGCTGAGTCGAACGGCTTTAAAATTGCTTTACCTGCTTGATCATAAACATTACGCCGATGAGAAGCAGGAAGGCCTTGTCAACTTTGTTGATGATGGACCTTTCCTCTTCCGCAGAAAACGTCGAAAGAAACGCCGCTCGAGCTTCTGGGTCATCTCGTAGGTTGTCGGCGTTGGCCCGAGCCACGGCTGCGTTGGCTTGCTGCTTCCGGCTCGCGGCCGTTGCATCGTGGTCGATCCGGACTTCGTCGGGCTGTATCGGTGCACTCATCATGGAATCCGCGATAGCTAAATTAAGCCATTCTAGGAGTTGAGGGTCAACTTCCAACAGAGGTGGTCTTTAAAGTCAAGTAACTGATTGGTGCCGACATCTAATACCCGATGCCGGCATTGCTTGCCATCTGCATCTCGATACCGATTTTCTTATCAGCGGGGATTCAGGGGAATGTGCATGATGTGCTCGAAGTTGATATGGCGATATAAAGCCTGGAGTGTGATGGGCTCTTACAGAGTGCTTCTGAAGCGTTGCTGTATCTGCACATCATTCGCTGAAGCGCGCCGAGAACTGATGGCGGAATCATGGCCCACCCTTCCATCATCTGCAGGATTCTTGCGTACCAACCCAACGACGTCGTATTCGCAGGGCCAGTCCGGCTAATATCCGAGTCCTTCTAATACATCTTCAGCATTTCTTTCTGGTCGGGAAAATACACAGACCGGCGAGGAAATGTTTCCCAGGTCCGATAAAGGAGTCCGACGACCTGATAGAGGGGGATTAAGGTAGCATCTGTCGGAAAATATCCGTAGGATTTCCGCACGCAACACGCAGATGAGATGACGCCAAAGAGACATGGATATTATAAACTACAGACACTGACTTGGGATTGGCTTTATTGTGCTACCAAGGGCCAAGCAAGTCACAACTAAACCTAGGACAAATTCAAATCTACGAATAGCGGTCCTTTTCCGGCTTCGACGATTGGTTGTGCGATATCTAAATCTACTTTCATTGACACTTTTGAACGACCACAGTAACTATGGCTTCCTCAAAGAGTCAAGACGGCGGTACAAGTGCCAAGCCTCAAAAGCAGATTCTTCTCAATGCCTTTGATATGTTCACTGTAGGACACCTATCCTTTGGCCAATGGCGTAATCCCAAAGACAGAGCCAAAGACAAACGCCGCGATCTCATCTATTGGACAGACCTAGCAAAGCTCCTCGATAAAGGAGGGTTTGTGGGCTTGTTCTTGGCCGATACTTTTGGGCCATACGACACGTTAGCGTCACCTCATTCTCTGCTCCAGCCAACATAGTCATTGCTAACATGGCTTTCAGATACAAGGGGAGCGCAGAGCCATCGGTCAGAACAGGCGCCCAATGGCCTATGGCCGACCCTGTAATCGTGAGTATGACCTCGGCAGCGATGTCTTCGTCGCGCATGCACCCTCCGATATGCCCCGCGGATGACTAACATGATATAAGCCCGTTTCCGCGATGGCTGCTGTCACCAAGAATCTTGGATTTGCCATCACAACGTCAACTTCGTACGAGCAGGCATACGTGGTTGCAAAACGCTTCAGCACCCTCGATCACTTGACGAAGGGACGTTTTGGATGGAACATTGTCACCAGCTGGAAAGAATCAGCTTCCAAAGCTGTAAGGTCCTCTTCTTGATGTTCTTGGGCTCTAAATCTCACATTAAACGGCAGGTTGGCCTTCCGTTAGTTGAACACGACACCCGGTACTCAAATGCAGACGAGTACTTGCGAGTTTTGTACAAGTAAGTCTTAGATTGAAGAAATTGCTCATTCAGGTGCACTGACAAGATTATGTAGATTGTGGGAGGGCTCTTGGTCAGATACCGCATTGGTAGAAGACGCAGAGAAAGGCATATACTCGGATTACTCTCAAATTCGTCCTATCCATCACCATGGCAAGTTCCACGTCGATGCACCTTTTCTGACAGACCCTTCTCCCCAACGTACGCCTGTGCTGTTCCAGGCCGGCACATCTCCGTAAGTTCCACGTACCTTTCAGAGTCTTGAACCTGGATGCTGATCTTTCCTGGAAGCGCGGGCATCAAATTCGGTTCCACCCACGCTGAAGGCATCTTCGTTGCCGGTCTCTCCCCACATGTTGTGGCACCAAGAGTCAAGGCCATCCGCGAAGGCGCCATCGCCGCAGGACGAGATCCCTACTCCGTCAAAGTTTTCGCCATGATAACCCCAATTATCGGCAAAGATGAAGAAGACGCCAAAAGAAAGTACGAAGAAGCCCTCAAGTACGTCCTCATCGAAGGTGGCCTTGCCCAATTCTCCGCGACCACAGGTATCGATGTTTCTCAGTTTGACCTTGACCACGAACTCACCGAGGCGGACGTTGCGAGCCACCTTCAACGTATTCACTCGTCGCTATACAACTTGCGCTATCGCGGCGATGATGTGCCAAAGTTGACGCCCCGGAACCTGGGCACGGTCACGGCAATCGGTGGGAACGGGGCTATGCCGGTCGGTACCGCGGCCCAGGTTGCGGACGTATTCCAGGAGTGGGTGGATATTGCCGACGTTGATGGGTTCAACATTGGTTACGTTGTTACGCCTGGCAGCTTTGAAGATGCCGTCGAGTACCTCGTCCCAGAGCTCCGTAGCAGAGGATTGTTGCCGCCGGCGATTCCTGATGACGAGCCGGCTCCTACTTTCAGAGAGCAGATCTATGGGCCTGGACAAAAGGGGTTGAGGTCTGACCACCCGGGATTCAAGTACAAGTATGATACTTACGAAGAGACTATCGCCAAGGAAAGTGCTGCGAAAGCTGCAGCGGCGGAACGTTGAAAATAGACGTGAGCCGTCAGTTTAAGGAGGAATTTTGACAGGAGTTAGCCTTGACGAGCCGCGTATCTTTTAGCTCAAAAACCTGTACCTATTCAGAGTTACGTCATGTTTCTCATGAACCGGGGTGTTCATGTTGGGACGGCTTTTACTTGCACAGTCAGTAATGTTGCTCAATTGATTCACTCATCATAGTTTTCTCTGAATTTAGGAAAATGTTTTCCTGCCGCCCGCATCATCTAACTCTCATCACGAGTTGCTCCATGCAGCAGCACCAAGTAGCTCATCGATGACAACTCGGCCGCTTGGCATGAAGCGCGCCCGACCCCAGCGTGGGGCCGGGTCCCCCACCGGAAGCACAATAATGTGATCATCAAAGACAGACAGCCTTAATCAGGAAGCAATAAGCACGCTCGCAAGCGGTGAACCCACGGTAGATGTTGCCAAGACTCAAACATGTGCCGAACGTGGATCCGTTAAGGTAGGACTGACAGGTGACCACCGACCCGGTTCAGCAAAAACTCGACTGCTCCCCGCAATCCCCGCATCATCCAACTCGGTCACGACGCCACCACCGGGACAGAGCAACGACTCACAAACACGTCTTCGGATCCAGCGCCATGGCTAGAGGTTCATCGATGGTCCAGGCCACAGCTATTGGAGCTTTCAGGATCTGGTAGACCCCGCCAGGCTAGAGGTAGGGCCGACTCAGACCCCAGACCTTAGACTTGGGACTTGGAATCCATCAACACAGATCCATGTCACCATTCCCAATTATCACTCTTGCAATGCTACAATGTGGATGCTGCGGGATGTCCGGGGTCTCCGCACCTGTTCCATTGGATCTACGACCCGAACATACTCCGGTATCCAGCTTCGAGACCATCACGGACGAAGAAAACAGCGCCACCCACCTTCGGGCTTGATGGGATGAACCTTGGTTGTCTAGCTCAAGTCTATTTGGATAAGCTTAACAACCTTATGCAACGTATGTGAAGAATTAGTTCTTAGCTCAAAAAGCACAGCTCTCAGGCTCAAAAGGCTCGCTACTTCATCATAGCCGTGATTAAGAGAATGAATACAGCTTGAGATCACAATGGAATCTGCTAAGTCTAGCAACTGCCAATGAGTTGCAACAACGAGTATATCCAGCGCTCCAGCTTCGGTGGGATCGCTAGGTGTCGTACACTTGATTGTGCCACTCGCTGATCTCGCTTTACTTTAGCGCTCGGGACGTATGCGAATTCGCGGAGTTCTCTCCCGACAGGAAAGCATGACATCGTCACCTCATACAGCTGGAACCCCTCATCCGCCACATAACAGAGCCCCATACCAGTTTTATTGACCGATACAAGGCCGTTAGATAGCGTGCCAAGAACAGATATCGCATTGCCCCCATACCTACACGGTTCGTTGTCTGAGGTAGCATCTACTGCCAAGTCGATTCGACCTCGACGATGGCCGTCTGCCATCAGAGATTGGCCATGTGCCACCATAAATACCCCTCTGGCTCTTTCAGCCAGATAATGTGAGAAATCTCAGGATCGTTAGTCTCAGAACCAATTCCATACTACGTGCTTCTCCTCTGAGATCACAACCATTATGAAGCTCGAAGTCGCAACACTGGCCTTCGCCAGCCTCGTCCTACCAGCTACCTGCGCATCAACCCCCTCCTTCCCAAAACAGCAAAGGCTAGCCCGCCAAGATAACACGGAGTCTCTACCAATCTACAAGAACTCATCCTACTGCGTCGACGCACGCGTCCAAGACCTTATCCAACGGATGACAGTTGAAGAGAAAGCCGGCCAGCTCTTTCAAACTCAACTCTACCAAGGTCCCAATGGCACTCTCGACCCTGGCAACGTCACGGCCCGCCGCAACAGCACCGATAACATGATTGGGGAGAAGTTCATGACGCACTTCAACCTTGTCGGCGACATCACGGACGCGAAGCAGGTTGCAGAATTTGTCAACCTCGTTCAGCAGCGTGCTCTAGATACGCGTCTGGGTATCCCCGTGACCCTTTCTACCGACCCTCGGCACCACTTCACAGAGAATATTGGCACTGGTTTCCAGGCTGGTGTCTTCTCACAATGGCCAGAGACACTCGGTCTTGCCGCTCTGAGGGATCCCGAGCTCGTTCGAAAATTTGCCGAGGTCGCTCGAGAGGAGTACATTGCTGTCGGCATCCGAGCTGCCCTGCATCCGCAAGTCGACCTTGCTACCGAGCCACGATGGGCACGCCTGGGCAATACCTGGGGCGAAAACGCGACCTTGACAAGCGAGCTCATTGTCGAGTACATCAAAGGCTTCCAAGGAAGGGAGATCGGTCCTCACAGCGTGACGACTGTGACAAAGCATTTCCCTGGCGGTGGTCCGATGGAAAACGGTGAAGACTCTCACTTCACATACGGCAAGAATCAGACATACCCCGGAAACAACTTCG